ATGAATAGTTTAAACAGGTTAAATACTTCTTTTTCAATGTAAATTACTTAAAACATTTTTATCTAAAATTTTGAAGATTATAAATAATACTGTAAACTTCTTATTCCTTGCACCTCAGGAATCAATTCTTATCGTTCTATGTTCTATAACGACTTTTTTAAAGGCTCAGTATACGCATCATGTAGAATCGCAATTGGTGTCTTGTAACAGACTTGTGGACTGCAACAGAGATTCCCCAGCATTGATATTCAGAAGAAAGAAAAGAATACAAACTCACGAAATGCTAAAAAAGACCAATTGACTGAAATACTGCAGCATACTTTGGTGCGATTCCAGACACCGAAGCACATCTGTAATGCTATCCACCAAAGTTTTTTTTTTTTTTCGATGTTATCGTAAATGGAGGTACCAACACTGTGACAAGTCTCAACAGTTTCATTTCATATCTTGAATGTCTTTCGGTCTTATGAAATTCAGAAATGTTGCACTTCTGAGTGGTCAAATTATTTTTGTTCTGTTTTCTGTACTCACAGCAGCAATTTTTGAAATCTGTAACAGGCAACAAGCGCGAAAAAGCTGTACTAAGCACATCAAATTGTGAAAGCCAATGAAGAACAGAAAAAAGTAAGCTTGTATCTTTTTGTGCTTTTTTTTTTGACAGTTTACTTAAAAGTAAACCTTACTTGTCCTTTCTGAATTTTAAACGTCGAAGTATAAATACAAAGTCCGCAAAATTCTCATTATTACTAATTATGTTTTCTTTTTTCTAGAGTTTTCCACTCACTTTAATTGACTGCTTAATTCGGTCTCTTTTATAGTTTTTCATGGATTTTATCACGTTTTATTCTCCAGTGTAATGTCTGATTATGATAAATCTTGAGAAGCAAATATTGCGTTTGCTATGCAGCACTTTATGAAGCTCGACAGGTCAAAAGTTTTGCTTTTTTTTTTTTGGTAAGACTTTTAATACTATTTTTCTGTATATAAGAAGTAACTTCACAAGATGAAAGTTTATTTTTTTATTTTTTATCTTCTGTTTGACTGGCACCGTGTTCCAACAACCAGGTCTTGCCAAAAAGCTCTTAGCACTGGCTGCAAAACAAATAACATCGAGTTTACTGCAACTGATAAATAGAGTGAGAATGGCAAAATGTTCCTCAAAAAATTGCAATTTGATTAGATTCAAAATTAACAAAAAGAAGAAGGGTTAAACGTTTCATTTGTAAATGTAATTTTTCGCGATACACATCAGTTTACCACTCATCCAATTGTTTCACGCTAACTTTTCCCAAGTTTATTATAGCTGAAAAACTGCTCACTATCGATACAGAGTTCAGGCGAATCGTTTGCGGTGCTGTTGTTAACCATTTGCAAGCTGTAGTGTCAAAAGTCAATAATATTACACTTGGGCTATGGTTTAACAAGAGGTTCGTTGACCACTTGCAAATTTCTGGTTCATCATCAACACATATAACAACTATTTCGACAATCAGTGCACCGTTGTTAATGAATGCCTCGCCAACAAATCGAGAGTCTACAATGCGGCGAAAAACGGCAACATTTCTGCAATAATTCGACCATACTCTACTTTGGCGCAAACAGTACCTTCACTTGTTATTTTTATTACCCGGTGATCCAGTGACAAGCTTTTTCTTGCCGCAGTTCGGATTAATTCGTTAGCTATCTCTTGATCAAAAGTTACTTTTACTATACTTTATTGACTCTTGTTGTGCGCCTTCTTTTCAAATATATGAAACTTTTGACTTAATTTTCTTTTGTTTTATAAAATTTTAAACATACTGCTTTGAAAATTTTCAAAAAAATACGTTTACAGCATTACAAGTAATAGTATCATTATCAATGTCAGGGCTAAAATTTTAACGGAAACTTTCTAACTGAGCTTTTTACCTAAGTCATCTATTCTTCTTTCGCAGTTGAAACATAGTGACGTTTATGAAGTTCTCATTAAAAAATTTGGAAAAATTGCTGAAATTTTGGTCACTCTTTTTCTTCTACTTACGATTTTTGTATCTTTCAAACGTTTTCAACATATTTTTAGCAGAGGTCAAACTCTACGAAAAGGAACTGAAAGTTTGACCGTTACTGAGCGTGAAAAGCATGTGAAATAAATGCTTACTTCACTTTATCTAAGGCCTGCATTTCACACCGCAGGTAGTACTAAAAAAAATTTCTTAAAAGAAAAGTGAAATCTTTAAATTATTATAGAACCTAAAGTAACCATATTCTTTCAAATTTTTTAAGTAAAATTTATTTTTTCTATACACCCGTCTCAAATTTAAATTTAAATTTTTTCATACTATTAAAGCAGTAAATTGCTAAAATTTTTGTTGCGTTGCTCAAAAACAAGTTGTTAAGAACCAAGAACCTAGAATGATCAAGATTCATATCGTTTTCAAAAAAAAAATAGTTTTTCAGTTCATTAGCAAGTTATTGGAACGTATGAGAGAGATGTTGATTTAAAGTGACGCTTATGTCAAGCCAATCATAGGTACGATGAAAGTGCTAACCGATAGAGACAACAAAAATACAAACTCACGGAATGCCAAAAAAGATCAGTCAACAACTGAGAAGCAGACAATTTTTTTTGGTTTGCAGAACCATAATATGTTTCTACAATAGTAGCAAACTGTCAAATGAAACAGATTTTAAGTGCCAGAGATAGCTTTAGGCCACGTTTTCAGGAGTCTGACATAGAAAGTTCCTTAGAGCAGTAAAAGTGAAAAGTGTTATAATTTCCCGAACTCAACGTTTTTTAACTGAGGTCAACGATCACCTGTATATCTTTATTCTATTTTCGATTAGATTTTGTTAGACTTTCTAATTTTATAAGTTTGCACTGTTTCTTCTTTTATCTTTTACCTTTTCCACAACTGGACTCCAGTGCGCTGTTTGTTTTTCGCTTATTACACCTTCACCACCAATTTTACGCCTTTTAGTACTCAGATGGGATACGCCGGCACAGATAAACGTACTGAGAGCATAGCAAATTTTTTAACTCAATACTTTTCTCTCCATTTTCATTGATGTTGATGTCACTGATACTATAGTGCGTTACTGTAATTTGCAAATTTATTCAAAATTCATAAGCACAGTTGGAATACAGTGATAGAAATTTTTCGGTTTTTTTTTCACAATTTATTGCAATTCTGAACGGTAAAACCAAGAGATTTTTATGTTGAATCATCAGCAACACTGACGTCACTGTCGTCCTGTTGGTCAGTCACTGTATCCTCTAAGAGTTTATAGGCGTTTGTGAAATGAGTTTAGTGACTCTCTTTTAGCCTAGCAGCTCCATAACGTTGATCGGCTGTAAGTAGCACACTTTTCTTCGTAGGGCCCTCCCACTGAAGCGTAGAAAAAAATGAGGTCACCGGACCAAAACAGCTCCAGTTTACCCAAATTTTATTGAAGCCTTGATGTTTTAACAAAATCAGGAAAAGAGAGAAGCTGAGATTGTTGGATAAGATTATTTTTTATTGATATAACTGCACTGCTACTAGTATAATTACTTCATTTGGAATAATTTAGAAATATTGCATAGCTATAGTTAGCTGTACTTAAGTTCAAATATACTTTTTATGACCGCTAAATTTTGTTATGACTGATTCTTCTGTACATTTTAATTGAAAAAAAGAACTTTTTGCTTGCACTTCTCTTTATCTTTTTCTTTTTTTTTTCTTTTTTTTTTTTTAACTTGTATTATCGGTTTTATGACTGTAATATTTTAGAATAAAATTTTTGTCGAAGGTCAGAATGATTTGAAGTAGTAAAATTTTGCAAAAGCAATGATTGGTATGACATTGCAATTATGTACTGATGTTGCACTTGGTTAGTACTCAAAGTTGCTGAAGACAAAAAAAAAAGAGAATACCAGAGATCACTGACCTTGTAAGAGACAAAAACTGCAGTTGTATTTGAAATATGTATATATACATTTATATTGTATCTAATTTTTTCTGCTCTTTCTCTACAGCATAATACAACGGAATAAATGGATAAATGAGATTAAGAAAAAACTTACTTATGATATAGTTCTTGCTCCTAAAACAATAGGCAACACTTTTGATTTTGCCTATTAACTTTTGGACCAGAATTTTTCGACCTGTACAATTGTTTGGCACTGTACTTCTTCTATATTGATCAATTTTTAATTGAGCTAAAAATGTCATTACTGAATGCAGTAGTGCTGTATTTTATGATGCTTCTGCTATTTTAGAAACAGCTGTTCAACTGATTAATTCATTTATTTTTTGAATATTTCAGCTTGATTTAGCAGTAAAGGGTTTTTTTGTTCTTGTAAACTTTTCTCTGTTACTTATTGTTATCATAGATAATCAATCTAAATAAGTTCAGTAAAAACCTATTCTTTTCAACTGGTTCTTTTTTTTTATTTCAAGTTTTTTCTTGTGATTTTTTTTTTGGTAATACAAGATTTGCAAAAGATATGGTTTTTCAATCTTTCTTGCAATCCTTATTAGCTCAACAACGGATTGTTTACTGGAATAATTCAATTATAGGTAGTTTTCCCTTCCTTGTTAACACCTCTGAAATCGATCAGCTATAATTTGAAATCACTGATTTTGTGTTTTTGCACAAAAAAAAACAGTTGTCATTTCAATTAAGTTTCTTTCAAAAGTAGTTTTTAACGCTTCTTTTCTGGTTCTAAAAAGCAACTTTATTAGAGAGAGATTCGAAGAAAGTTTGTGGCTGCTTGAAATGACGGCAAACCCTAACTTAATGGTTACTGTTAAATATATATTAGGCTTCCATATAACGGCTCTTGTCACCTAACTGTTTTTTTCATTTTTAAAAAACTTTTTGTATTGTATAGTACAATTATGAGAAATTTCAAATTTAGTCACAAATTGTTCGCTCTAATTTTTTTTCAGAGCATATTTTATGTCAATTAGCACTGTCTCACATGTCGCTCTTATACTACTAAAATTGACGTCATGCTGTGTATGTTATAACATCCTGGTTTACAATCCACAAGTTGGACACAGCCATGCGGGTTTCTGGAGTAGTGTTGCAGATCATTTAGTTGAAGCTGGTCATAATGTTGTGAGTTACATTCTCAGAAAAGGAAAACAACATTTCTCCATTCACGTTTTGAACAAAGCTCTACCTCCATGAAGTCCACATTAAAATTTAGACTGTTTATTCACCAGCGTACAATGAGGATGTGAAGCCGACTGGTGCGAAACTTGCTACTGTTTTATCGCGTCCACGTCAAAAAAACTTGTATTTAAACCTTACCTCTCTCGCAGGTTTATTTTGGACTGCAAGTGGCATGAATATCGTGCAAATGAAAGAAGTAATTTTATTGCCTTTTTGTTTTTCATTTATATCCAATTGTTACTACACTGATTGTAGGCCTTCAAAAAGTTTTTAAATTAATGTTTTAGTTCCTTACTTTTTAGATCTTACGATAGTTTTTTTGCTCTCTGTTTAGTAGACCAACGCCTGTTTTAAATCTTCTGCCTTCTGTTTAATCGATAACATCTTCTTTTAGATGACACGATTTATGGGGGAAAAGCAGAACTTGTTCTGTCAAGGTCAGTTTCAAAATTCCTCACTTTCTTCCACGCTTTGGGGAAATAAACTTAATTGTCATTTATATTTGTTTAGTTTTTGTTTAAATGGTTTCTTTGAAAATTGTTGAATTTGGCAGAGTAACTGCTCAAAAAAAACTAACCGTATTTTATCAATAATGCAGATCAGATAAACGACGTTAACATCATCAACACGTTGAATAGAACTACATATGATGTTGGTGTGACGGAGCTCATAAGCTCCTGTGGCTTCGTCATCATTGAAAAGCTCAACATACAGAATTATGTAAGTGGATTTGCGACGAATCTAATGGAAATGACAACAGCACCGTTTCAATTCGAAAATGTTCCTAGCTATGTTCCTGGTTAGAATGCATATCAGCGTGCCATTATTATGTGATATTCAACTTCTTTCCTGGACTAGAAATTGTTAATTAATGGTGAACTTAGTTACATTATAATTATTTTGTAGCAACCATGACTCATTTGGACGAAGAGATGAGCTTCTCTGAAAGGCTTTTCAATTTTGGCACCTTAATTGGGTCCAGAGTCTTGATGGAACTCTTTGTTAATTCTAAGCTGTCCTACGAAGAACTTGTCCCCAATTTTCGGCTTCAAGTAGAAATTTTGAATATGGAATACCTAACCATTTATAGGTTTTTCTAACGCAGCAAAAATAAGGGATTTTTAAAATTTTTTTTATTTTTAGAGATCGTTGTAAATGATTTAGCGTGGTTAGATTAACTTTTACATCTTCAGGAAAAAATTGCACACAGCACCTATGTCTTTATCAATTCTGATATCCACCTAGAATTTCCAAGGCCGCTTGACCCAAGGATTATACACCTCGGTAGCATAGGCGTTCGTGACCCAAAACCTTTGAGTCAGGTGGAGAAAGAATGGAAGTGTTAAGTCTGAAAACTCTAATTCGATAGGTTTACGTTAGTGAAACTGGTTTAGGATTTCGCACTCATGTTGGATGGTTTCAATGGCCCTGTGGTGGTGATTGCATTTGGTTCTGTGGTTCAGAGTTGCGATATGCCTAATGATATTTTAAATGCATTTTTGGGAACGTTTTCTAATTTTCCAGAGGTTTGTTACAATTGAATTATATGAACTAACCTGGGAGGACAGTTATCTTTACTTGCTTTATTAGTCTCTTTCAAAGGGTAAAGAAAGTCATAGAATTAAATTACTTTTTAGGTCCTATTTCTTTGGAAATACGAGAAAAATAGTAGTCTTGCTAATGGTATGACAAATGTAGTGAAACGTAACTGGCTGCCACTGAATGATCTTTTTGGTCAGTTTCAATATCAAATGCTACCCGATTTGGTTAATCTAAAGTTTAAGTAGTGGAGCTGTCTAGTCATTTATGCGGTGAAATACATAAATCAGAGCACCTTTCTGAACACTGAAAAGGTATTGTAGCTCACGAAAAAGTTCGTCTATTTGTATCGCACTGCGGCTTAAATAGCTTAGTCGAAACTTCATCTGCTGCGGTTCCAATGCTTTGCATACCTCTATATGGTGATCAAATGAGAAACGCAAAGATTGCCAAGAATTTGGGAATTGCACACGTATTGGATAAAACAAAAATAAGTATCGCTGCACTTTCGAAGGCCTTAAGAGAACTTTTATTTAATTCAAAGTAAGTGCTGTAGTTTGGAGCTTATATAGATTCAGTTCCATGACAGTTTGATGTAGACGGAACTAATCAGATTTTTAGAATTAACGAGATTTTTTATCTACAAATTGTTGTTCAGGTTTGAATTATTTCTGAAAAATTTCAACAGGAAAATATTATGATGCTTTACTATTGAACTATATAATCTTTTCAGATATGCAAAAGCATCAGTTCGCTTGCGTTCGATGCTTGCTGATAGAATCGTTTCACCGCAGAAGAAGCTGGCAACTTTTGTTGAACGTTCGGCAAAAATAACACGAATAAATTCCCAACAGTATATTGCACCACAAGTTCCTAATATTATTTCTTATTTTTATTTTGATCTTTTCCTCGTGGTATTCCTCGTATTTACGCTGTTGCTTTAGTTTTCAGACAATCTAATTATTTTTGGAGTCATAATTGACAATAACATTCTTTTATGAGAGGCAGCAGCAATCGCTAGTAGAAGAATATTTTCCTGTTATAAATAGGTAGGACTAAGGCAATTTTGTTTTGACTCAGTAGACGTCATGCATATATAATGGTTTTTGTAAAAACGATTGGCATAGCCATCTGATTTTTCGCAAATATGTATGCAATAATTTGTAAATATTATCTTCATGACAGAAACCAAAGTTTTTTTTTTCAAAAGCTTATCAGAAATGTTTTTGCCAAAAATGAGTTAATAGAAATTGTACAAATTTGGTTGACATTAGCGTATGTTAATATTCCATTGTGAAGCAGAAATCTGGTTCTCATTATTTTAATAATATCATCAGTGTTTGACTAATCAGTTGTCATGCATTTTTTTAACTGTTTTGGTGGTAATGGAATGCTATAAGGATGAAAAGCAAAAAAAAAAAAATTCTTTTTATTTAATGTTCAAAAATTTCTTCAAATTTTTTGATAGTAGTCATGCATTTTCGTAATTGATGAGTCACCAGTATCAGTTTTTGTAGAGAGTAAATAAAGAGAAATTATTTGATTGTTATAATTAGTATTCAACTGTTCAAGAAATTTTTCTGACAGACGACAAGTTGTTGTTAAGTTTAAGCCTTTCGGGCCACCACATGTCTTTCATTTTTGTGCTGCAACAATGGGGTAACTTAGAGAAATGTGTTAGTTTTTAAAACGTTGTTGCAGAAGTGGCAGTTACAACTGATAAGGTTGTTCATTTGCAAATTTGTGTGGTCTTATTAGTAGAGACCAACAGAAGTTTGTTTGGCAAAATCGGCGTGTTTATAAATACTAAAGCAATCTCTGTGGTAAGGAAATAAAGTACAATAAAAGCTTTTTTCTAGATTTAGGGTTTGCTAAAGTAAATTTACAAAGTAAAGTAAAAGTAATTTGTATTCTACATTATGGGAGTATCTGAGTGGTTATTTTTTTTTTGTTTCATTTCTGCATTTATAAGAATCAATGTTTCATTGAACGGCAAAGAATGCAGTTTTGTTCTACTAACCAAAATAATTTGACTTTATTTGGGGAAATTTTTTTTTAACAAAATATCTCGTTTTTCATTTTTAGATATCACATTACTGCAGTTCTTGTTGTTTTTGTTTTTGTTGTTGTTGTAACTGTTGTACACTTCATTACCACGTTGAATTCATAGTTTTTTTGGATGATAAAATGTATAATTAATCTTGCTGTTAATAAAAGTTTTATTTATTTATTTATTTGAAAATATTTTTGACAGTTACCAACTTGTGAATGTAACTCGCGATTGTAAGATAATTTTTTGGTTGTGCAAAAATAGAAAAAAAAAAGAATTGCATTTTGAAAATGGGTGAGCACTTAGAAGAAATTAAAACTTTTGGTTGTTTTGTTAAATTTCAAAAATGCAACTTTTTTGCATTGTTTAGGCAACAAACTTTAATTTTCAAATAATAGAAACTGTAGAAATACCTCTTTTGGTTTTTGTGGTGAATTTTACTGCTGCCAATACATACTTAGATTTTCAAACAAAAAATATTTTGTTCCAAATTAGCAACTGTAAATGAATGTTTCTTTTTTTTTTTTTTTTTTGGAAGATTTTTATAGGTTAAACCTCTGCTGTCTTTATATTTTGCCTCTACAATGACCTCATTATTATTACTTGCAACTTATTTAATACAGTGAATTCCGGTTTCTTCTAACTGACAAATAGTAACTTATTACAACGTCACTGCTGTTTGTTGAGTAAAACAGGTACAGATCTTGTTTGAAATTGGAAACGGTGTTTTAGTTTACGGTAACTGATCCCCATAAGTTGATTCACCTCTCACCGGACTTCTAACTTCAGCCTAAGCTTATGCTTAAATTTTAACTTATCCGGTTCAGTTACCCATGTAACAGATACTGGTTGAGAAGTACATAATTTACTGAAAAAGTATTCCACTGTTCGCAATTTACGTAATACTCAAGCAGCATTATAAGGGAGTCCTTTTTTCCAGTATTCTAACACACTGAGTAATAATTGTTGAAGTGGAAGATGAAAATTGCTAAACTTAGTGATTTGTATGATGGGTGTAAAAGGAAAAAAAAAAA